TATAAGGACTGAATATCTTGTGGGTTTTTCCCCCCATCACCTGATGAGCAGATTTGTGCCAGTGTTAAGAATTCACAGACTAAATCATGAATTATTGCAAGCTAGTTTTTTTAAAAAAATATATGCTTATATTAAACTAAAATAGGGATATACAGAAGCACTTTACAAACAATTCCTATTTGAAATGTACTGTAACATCGTTTAGTTTTCTGTCCAGTTTCAACTATTTGTTTTTAGCTGCTTGAGAGTTATAGGACATTTTTGTTTTATTTCTTAATATCTATCAGGGCAGAGGTGGGTTCCTACCGGTGAGGCCCAGTGCAGCCGAACCGTAGTGGTATGATGGCCTGGGTCGCAGAACCGGCAGTGACTCAGGCTGGCCATGCCCCTGAACCAGTTCCCTGATGACTGCTGCCATATTTTTTTAAAATTCTGTGCATGTTCAGAACAATTTCCATTGGACTGTGCATGCACGTGCATCTAGAGAAGCACACGCACAAGTGAACCGGCAGTTATGCCGGCTGAAACCCAACCCTGTACCAGGAGTGATAATGCCTAGATAGTAATACTCATACTTTATGTGAAGATATTCCAACTTCATGGTCTCAGGAGAATGGTTTAAGATTTTGAAGATCTGGAGTTTTTCCCAAATCCAGAATCCCCACTGTAAGGTAGCTACTTTTGTTCTATATCCAATAATGATTAGTACATTCCTCTATCTGAATGATTTGAAAACTGCTGTTTTTCCTGAAAATGTATCCAGAAAACCTGTCAATTCCTTATACTAATAGCTCTATTTGAAGGTTTTAAAAATAGTATTTTTATTTCCATAAATAACGTAATGGATAATCATACAGAAAGTTATCTGAAAACATCTTTCTTCCCTTTTAATTATCTAATAATTATCCAATAATTCCTTGTGCTATATCTATACAGCTGCTGTTTCCAAAGTTTGCAAAAGCTACTGACTGACTCAGCAGAATGAATAAAGTCTGTATTGAGGAAGTGGTAGTATATTGGATTGTTATTCCTCTTGGTTGGTTAACCTTACCTGTCATCTAGTAGTGTTGTTGATTGCCCTGGCGTGCCTATGTTTTATTCATTTATTTAAAAGATTTGTATAACTGTCCATCAAAACACAGTTGTATGTGGCTCACAACAGTAATATGTCCTGTGAGTCTTGAAAACAAATGTATTTATGAAAGTTTTATACAAGCAATAGAAGAATTATCCCTTTTTGAAGTGACTTTGATCAGTAGAAAGGACAAAACATCAGGTAGTCCTCAGCTTACAAACATTTGTTTATGACCATTCAAAATTACAATGGCACTGAAAAAAGTGACGTATGACCGTTCTTCACAGTTATGACATTTCCAGCATCCCCATGATCACATGATTAAAATTCAGATGTTTGGCAACTGGTTCATATTTATGACCATTGTGATATCTCAAGATCANGTAGCCAAAATAAAATTCTTTCTCCTGGGAACCAAGGATGTTCTCACCAGGTGCTGGGGAGGTATGGTCTGAAACTAACTGCAGTGTGGACGGTGACCGAATTGGACCATGTGATAGACATGTGGGCTGAGGGAAAGAACTTTGACTTTTAATATGAGTGGGGAAAACCGTGGGGCTTTCAGACATGCCTAATAAATGTGTACTTTGAAGAACGCCTAGGTCTCAGAGTCTTGATTGTGTTGATCTGTTACTTGGAACCCTGACAGTTCTGACAGTAATTTGGCATATTTTCATTTTGTAAGTCACCTAAACATGTCTAAAGTTCAATGATGAAGCCAAGAGAAATCAACTACCTAAGAGAAGTCAACTACTTAAGACTTTGTGGAATGGGAAAGTGTATACATTTTATACAGTCTCGTATAAAGTAATTTGCCTGATAACACAATTGTTTCAAATTAGATCCTAAACAGTGATGTACTGAGGGCAATAACCTTTTGATAAAGAGCACTAGCTATCAATCAGATAGTTTCCTAAGTGGCATGATTAGCACAACTATAAATACTGCATTCTAACCCAACCAATATTTTTGATCCAGCTTTTAGTTTTAAAAAATGGAAAAGATTTCATTTTTGAAAGAAAACATGATTTGTTTTCACAGAAGCCTATGTAAGTTGATGAGAAGAGATGCCATATAAGGGCTTGGATGTTTCTTCCTAATCATGCTCAAGAGTTCTTCAAATGGAACTGCACAGAACAAGTACTTAGAATAGATGACTCTAAAGTATCATCTGACTCTGGGATTCTATGAAGATCCTATGAATAAATTGTGCAACAGACGTACTGTAGCATTGTGAGCTTCTCAACCTTTTGCATAATATATATAGCCATCTGTTATGTTGTCTAGAAAAGAGTAGATATTGAGAATTGGGAAGCCCCTCCCCAAATAACTCAGAAAAGTTGTAATTTACTCTTGCTATATAACTTTTTAATATCACTAGAGTTCAATTGTTCCTGTAATTGTAGTTAAAATAAAAAAATGACTTTTTATCAGTAAATTAACAAATGAGCATGAAAGCTCTCCAAGCATTATTGTATCAATGGAAAGAGTTAAAAAAGAACAACAATCAGAATTCCACATTTGGGATGGAAAAGTTCTTTATATGTCCCTCTTTTGTGTCATTACTTTTGTATGTCATACTTTGAATACGATTTCAGAGACATCTACTTTTTGAATTGTTTGTGTGTATTGTGTGTAGTGTTCACTTGAATGGCAGTGTGTAGCCCATACTTGTGCATGAGAAAAATGGTCTGTCATTCCATTCTTCTGTGATTCCCCTACACCTGAGTTCCCCCATTGCCAACTTCTATGTCTAACCTACAGTTCTGATATTTTCTATTCAAATACTTATAAGTCTGATCTTCCTTAGATTTTTTCCCCAGGTTTTTAGTTTATGTAAAGGAGGGAGGCTGCATTTTCTTGTCTCAGGCCAAGCATAGCAACAGCTCAAGTACTGTCTGTGAAAACGTATTCTACATCTTAAGTTTGAATGTCTTGGTCTTTCTTTTAGAATTATTGGGTTGTATTTCAGCAGGAACTATTGCCACTGTTTTCCCATGTATGCTTTCTCTAAAGGTATGCAGAGATCCTTTCTGCCTCATGGCAAAAAGAAAATAAAAGTACTCTAAAATATTACAACATACATACGGAACAAAATACAAGACACTGAAAAGTATTGCAAACATTAAATGTGTATACAGTTACAAACTTCCCACCAAAATGTATATAACTCCTCCAGATATTTAAGTCTATATAAAATATTTTGGTATTCTAAAAACAAAGCCACATTTTTAATCTGATATTTGCAGGAGCAATTTGAAGTGTGAAATGTCAGATGGGTCCGGATGAAACACACCCTGTTTTTTCTACTTTCTTTTAAAACACTTCTCATAAATAACTATCAGCATAGCTCAGATTGACACTACCTGACATACAAGTGTGACCATATAGTTTCTTGGACCAGGGCGAAATAAGTTTGAAATCCTGTTTAGTTCAAATTATTGCCTAATCTTTTCTTCCAGAACAAATTCCTAAGAGGCTTTCCAGCAGTCTTTAGAGAAAACCTGGGATGCAAGCGTGCTAAACAAATGACAGTGTTTTATCCTCCCTTTATTGTTTGAAAGACAGGGCACATGTAGAAGGAGGCTTGCATTTGTTCCAATGATGGAAAGACAAACTCCTCCTCCTTGGTGAGATTAAGGGCTTCTGCTCAGAAAATGACAATCACTAGATAGGATGTTTCCCTCACCTCATATTTAGTAAATAGAAAAATGACAGGTGGTGGGTGGGATTCTTGCTAGTTGTTCTTCTGTCACAAATTAAGGGGGAAGTGAAGCAGCAGCAGCAGCTGAAATAAGGGACAGCCTAGAGCCTCTACTCTGTAGTGACAGCACACTCTCTTTCCTCTCTGCATGTGGCTGCCTCTTGGTGGGGTAATGGCATCACTCACTGCTGTTCTACTAGATGGAAGACAACTGGAAGGAATTAGCTGACAGGTTTAAGCTCTTGCTTACACGAAAATTGTAACCCGGCTCAGAAGCAGCCATAAAGCGGGAGGATTCAGAATTTCTCCTGGCTCTTCCTTCTAGTTAAGAGCTGTTGTTACCTTTCACTAATACAAGAGCATCAACTGTGGAAGAACCACTAGCATCTGGGATGAAGGCAGCTTTGAAGGTACTGACTGAATCAAAGGGAACTTGGAGTATGTAACATTCTCTCTCTGGATCAGCCCTTTTTAACTTGATAGCCTCTCATCCTCAGCAAATGTGCCATGCAGGTTGGGGATGATGGAAGTTGTGGTTCCCTTCCCCTTTGGAAGGCACCTGGATGGGGAAGACTCTATTACTGAAAAAAACCAAAACTACCTTGGAGTTTCTTTTGAAAACAGGAAGGCTGTGATAGATGGATAGCAAAGAGGTAGGTCAGGCAGGTGTAGGGCAGGGCGAGGATAGAAGTGCTTGGCATAGGAGTTAGTGGAGTTTAGCAAAGTTAAAGTTGGAAGAAAGGGTTGCCAACTCTCTTTTTCCAAACTAGGCTTGTGTTATTTTTCACAGCTATGAAATAAGCAGAAGTACCCAGGTGACTCTTTCTCTCCGCACTAAAATTTCACCTGCTGATCAGCCCACAAGACCCTAACCAGGATACAGGCGACGGGAACCGGTCCTGACCCACAGTTAGGCCAAGGTCGCGTCGCAGAGCGCTTGTCAGGGACAAAGCATCGGGGCGAGCTTGGAAGTCAACTCAGCGCCTATCGGAGCGCAGCTGGAGCGGGTTGGGGTGTGTGTGTGTGGGGGGGGGAGGCGGGTGAGCACCGAGGGAAAGGCGCGTCCAAGGGAATTGTTTGGTGCCACCTGAAGGGGAGGTCCGTCGCTTTGAGTTTGGGTCACTGCCCCGCCACTCGGGCGCCTCAGAGCGGCTGTTGCTGCTCAAGGCCGCCGGGTGGGGGCTCAGGCGCCTACGCCTGCTTTCCCGCCCTTCCTTTTTCTCTCTCAAAGCGTGCTTGACCGCCCAGTGGCCGCCGCCGCCTCCTCCTCCTCCAGTGAGCGCTGGGAGACGAGGCGGCGGCAGCAGCAGCAGCAGCAGGAGAGGCGCTTCCCCCCTCGAGGCTCGCCTCTTCTCCAAGGGTGGCTTGAGCTCCGCTGGGCGTCCTTCGCCGCTGTCCTTCTTGCCAGGCGCTAGCGGCTGAAGGAAGTTTGCCAAAGCGCCCCCCCCCCCCAATTGACGGCACTTATCCTGGCAAACTCTTACTAAGCCGCGCTTCTCTCTCTCTCTCTCTCTTTCTCTTTCTTTCCGCCACATCTTTCGCGCTGCGGGAAGTTGTCGATGAGTGCCCCGCCGGTCATCCGGCCGCCCAGTCCTTCGCAGCCCGGCGGCGGCGGCGGCGGCATCTCCTTCCACCTTCAGATCGGCCTCAGCCGGGAGCCGGTGCTCTTGCTGCAAGACTCCTCGGGGGAGTTCAGCCTGACCCATGTCCGGGAAATGGCTTGTTCCATCGTCGATCAAAAGGTAAGGCGCCTCCGTCCCCGGCTTGAATGTTTGGGCACCGGGCGACGTTAGACTCTCCGATTGTACGAGAGGGAGCATGTGGCCTTCCCAGCTAGGTTTCCTCTTCTGCCATCCCAGGCAGGCCCCCGCTGCCCCCGCTTGCTCGCCTCGTTTGGGAAAAGTCTCCCAAGATAATTTGGGTGGGAAGCCACCGCTTCAGGAAGGTTTGGGATTCGTTTTAGTGAATAAAACGCCAATTCCTTTTGACTACAACCTCCTCGAACTAGACTATAATGCAATAAAGTTGTAATGCGTCTTTTCTTTGATCTTTCAACCGAATCCCCTGATTTCCTTCCTCGGTCGCGTTACATTTTCTGTACTGGCTAGTTGTATTTGTTGACTCTCGGCAGAGTTTGATTGCCACGCGCGAAAAAAAGTTTACTGCTCCGCCTTCTCTCTCTCTCTCCCTCTCCATCCCCCCCTTTCCCCTGTGTCCAAGAATGAGAGTTTAGTAGGAGGGGCTGGAAAGAAAACGAGAGATAGGGGCGCACTGGCAGCTGTCAAAATAATCCCTCGACCCTGCATTATACCCGCTGGGGAAATAAAAGTTTCCACTTTGCAAGCCAGAAAGCAAAACAAGCCGGCACGCTTGGCAGGCTGTGCTCAGGAAAGTAATCCGATGCTTGCAAGCCGGTAGACCTGGGATATGTGGAATGCCGGCTCTGACCTTATAGATGGAGTCTGGCTGCCAGTCCAGGGAAAAAAAGATTCCTGGGCTGAAATGTGAGAATTCCATAAATCCATTTTTTTTAATGTGTGTGATTTTGCAGAAGTAGGCAGAGGCATTGCTCTTACAAAATTGGCATCTTGCAATGTAACCCCAATACCTAAATTCTGCCGAGTCAAATCCTGCAAATTTCCCCCAAATTATAATTTTTGGAACACCCAGAGGTCTTCTGCACCAGAGGTGACAAATTTAGGGAGCACTACCTGGTGAATAAAAGTGCAGTCTCAAGCTCCATGCCTATAACACTGAAAAGATGTACAATATGGTATTTTATGGCTAAATGTGCATTTTGCAGCAGCCTTGTTTGCTCATCTAAGGAACTGTCAACAACTATACCAAATTTTTAAAGTTATTTTGACTCTCTTTCTCATACTTTCCCTGTCATCTGCTTTACCCCCATTCCTTCACTTTGAGAATGATATTACCTTTTCCCCTTCTTTGGTACATCACAACATGTATTGATTTGGTGAACATGGGAATGAATGAATGCATGTGGCTGAGGAGAATAGGGTAATTCAAACCCCAGAACTGCTGACATGGTGTTATTTGTACCATTTTCACCTAAGAGCGCTAACTGCCCCAGGAGTTCCCATTCTAGTTTGGAAGGTGGTAAAATTGCAGGGGCTATAATTTGGGGACAGATTGCACCTTCCTCTTTGAAAGTGGTAATGTTCAGTTCCAAACATCTGGTGGTTTCACAGAAAGCCTTTTAAGATATGAAGGAGTACTTTATAGACGAACCCGCTTGTTATGGAATGGGCTTTTCAAGAAACAGCCAATTTTCACAGATGCATAAAATGGATTTAGAAAGTAGCCCTGATGACAGTTGATTATTTCCTAGATTTCTATTTATCCATAGCCAGCTACCATTTGTTTCCCACAAGATTCAACTTCCTGTTCACTGATATATTTTTTTGTTTCTCTTGTGTGTTTGTGTATGATAAGACAATGATGTCATATTAAGAAATTAAAGTTTAAGAAAAAATGTGTCTGGAAGGAAATCTTTTAATACCTCTAATGGAAGTGTAAAAGGATTTTCAAAGAAATGAACTCTTTTTCCTAAACAAGTACCCTAATCTACTTTCCTAATCAAGTAACCTTGGTTTATCAATTGAGGGTCAAAAAAGTTTCGTCTAATACTTTCTTACATGTGTGTGTTCTATCTGTTTAAGAAGGAATGCTATTGTTAACAAAATCATAAGGTAGATGTACAACATGCCTGTAACAGATTCCTGTATTCCTATATTGTAGAAAATAATATATATAGTTCAGGGTTGAACTATGGAGGCTTTGGTACTCTCTGAGCTTGGTCATTTTCTTGTAAACATTTCATTACCTGACAACCAGTAGTAACATCATCAGCACTGAATGATGTTACCTACTTAGATAATGAAATGATTGCCTGCAAACAGCCAACCTCAGAGAACACCAAGGCCTCCATAGATTCCTTTATTCTTAGTTACTCTTTATTCTTTACTGACATCTTAATTTACTGTGGTTGTCGTACTACCAATGTAGTTTTGCATTAATTCTGCATTAAGCTGCAATATACCCAATTTTTATTTGCTTTATTGGAGACTGAATAGACTTGAAGTTCAGAAGAATGATGATCCGCTCCCATTGTAGCAATTATGTGATGCATTGTAGCTTTTTGACACCATCAAGTGACCTTCATGGTTGGTTGACTAGTCAAACAGGGGTTTCCCACATTAAAACTCCACACGCTGACTAATCATTGCACCATACTAAGTAGTTGGGGATGAGAATTGTATTGTTGCTGCTGCTGTTGTTTCAGGGTGATTATGGTTTGCATAGATCTAATCCTTTTGTTTGTTTATGAACAAAGATGGATAATTGTTTTAAAATAGTTTAGTACAGCAAACAAATGTATTATGTTCTAGAAAACAATAAAACTGATATATCATTGCATGATTCAGGTAGGATATAGTGAGGAAAGAATGACATGTACTGCTAATAATTGTGTTTTTATTTAATTTTCCTAGTAGTAAAATGTTGTGATTTGAAGCATTGGTAACATACACAATTGTTGTAATAGAAAGGTGTTAATACTTAGAAACAAAAAGGGGCTGGTAATTAAATTATAATGTGGAAATCTGTAAGGTACCATAGACTTCCTATTAAGAAATAATGAAGAGTGCAAAAAAGCTGTTAAAAATCAATGACATGCCCTAAAAATAATCAAATCTTGTGGGCATAAGGACAGAAGTTCCAAACTGTTGCAACTAAGAACCTGATAATAGAAGCCAAAAATACTTTTGGATTTTACCCTTTTATATTGGGGACTTCCCTAACTACATAACAGATACTTTTGACTCCTTGTTAAAGGAAATACCGTAGCAAAGGCTAAGATGTCTTTGGCACTGAAAGAAAAATGGCAGGTGTACATACTGTATGTGAAATAACAAAGTCTTATTTTCTAACACCTGTATTGTGCTCAGTGAACTTTTAGGTGCTGAAGGAAAGGTTTGTGTTTGGTACCAAATTGAATTTGATGTACCGTAAATGATTGGGATAGGTATGCCAGGGCTTTTTGTCCAGGACAAAAATATGATGTCAGAGGGGATAGGAACCTTTTAAAAGTGTTGGTGCTGAATTTCAGCTGGGGGAATTCTCAGGTGACCTCTTTGCATAATAAACTTTGAAAGGAGAACCTGATCACTGGTCTATGGCTATAAAGAGTTAGTGCTTTCTGCAAAAAAAAAAATCCATCAAAGAGTGGTAGAAACCGTTAACTCATCCAGTGATGGTTTAGATCAGGGCTGTTAAACTCAGGGCCCATGGGCTGAATGCGTCATGTGTTGGCCACACCCATGTCCAGTTTAGTGAAGGGGGAAAAATCACGATACATTAAGTGATGATGCACGTTTGACACCCTTGGTTTAGATTTTTGCATCCCAGATCTTTGAGATGAAAATATATGCTGCTCTCTCATAGTCTTTCCATCTTATTGACTCACTATTGATGGGAAGGTTTGCAATAAAATCAGGTTCAGATCCAGTTAAATGCATCTTAGATGGAGTGATGGGATCAATTTCCTTCAACCTTAGGGTTTTCTTTTATATCTGAACAGGTGTTTTTTTTTAGTATCTGACTATCTGGTTTAAGTAATGATGAGTTATCCATACTCTGTCTCTAATGTCAGTATTGTGGCATTATTTAAGTTGTGAACTTTTCTAAACATACTTGGGAGTCCACATAAAGATGGAAATGCTTGGGCTTTAAAGTTTATTTCTTAGTTCCAATGGTTCATGGAGAAAAACTAATATCTCCTTTTTAAAAAATAAACTTCATTTTTTTTCACTCTAGCCTGTGTAGAAATAGAAAAAAAAGTGACACAGGGTAGGAAGAGTATTAGGTTGTTAGCTGAAACAAGAATAAAAAAAGTCCTAAGTGCAATTGTTCCCTTTTATATATTGGTGGTCCATTAAGGTGATTATATTTTCTGAGAGAGAAAATGTCAGCGATTTTTTGTTGTGGGAATAGTGTAATGCAGGGGTCAGCAAACTNGGAAACTAATCAAGGAGAGAAGCAACTTAGAACTGAGGAGAAATTTCCTGACAGTTAGAACAATTAATCAGTGGAACAGCTTGCCTCCAGAAGTTGTAATGCTCCAACACTGGAAGTCTTTAAGAAGATGTTGGATAGCTATTTGTCTGAAACGGTACAGGGTTTCCTGCCTAGGCAGGGGGTTGGACTAGAAGACCTCAACGGTCCCTTCCAACTTTGCTATTGTATTGTATTGTGTTGTGTTGTGTTGTGTTGTATTGTATTGTACCTATTGATTCTGATCTAAATCCCTTTGAGTTTAAAATAACCTCTTCCCAGGTTTGAGTGATGGAAAAGATGTGAATCAATCAAAACACTAGGATGGATAATCTCAGAGGCGTATCTCCTATCTCCAGAAACTTTTCCATCTTGTTGCACCACAATTCTTACATTTCTCAGTTCAAGGCAAGTCATTTCTTGAAGTTTTCTTTGAAGCATATTTAATTCTAATGCAATGTATTTCCATATTTCAATTTTCATTGTATTTCCCACCACTATTCGGGGTGATTTGCATTGGAATTCAGTAGCATATACTGCCTTTTTGCACCTATAAAGCTATTGACCAAGACAGTAGCAGATGCACTCTACATTTTATTTAATTTCCTTGTCTAAGAAACTTATTTTGCATTTCTCTTTGCAACATGTGTCCTATTGATTAGACAAATAT